TTGCGTAGGGCACCGGGCGTCTTGGTCTGAAGACTAGCTTGGCGTCTAGTCTAAGAATCAACGCGGAAGTAGCTATGTTGCAGCATCCGAGACCAGGTTGAAACAATGCATCGTGACGTCGTTTTATCTCGGAAAGTTCACTTTGATGTCGACGGTTGCGACAGCAGATTGACTTGCAGTGGCTGACATACACTGTTCATTGATTGCTCAAGCAGTTTCAGTTCATCCATCCAGTCGAGCTCCAACAAATCTAACCCCGGCTGGTCTGTCACGAAATATGTCATCTGGATTTGTTTATCGCCGAAGTTTACTTGACAATTCAGTTCACCAAGCAATTTTAACGTACCTCTTGAAGCATTCCGTGCCGTGTGGCCCGTTTGTATGAGTGTCAGTCGCCCCAACATGCACCAAGTGTCGCGATATATCAGGGTGATATCTGAAGCCGTATCGATTTGTAACTTGACTTGGAAGCCGTTGCTTTGCACAATTGTGTATTTGCGCTTGCTGGCCCCGTCAACATTGAAAGTTCCAGTGACAGATCTAGTCAAATTGGGATGCTGGAACGATCTGGCATTGTTACGCATCTTCTTAGTCAAAATTGGACGACTCGCCAGGCAACATGACTTCTTATGCCCTTAAATGCCGCAACGGTTGCAAGTGCAAGTTTTGAATGTGTGCTCGTAGGCAAAATGCCGATCTCTATAAAAACCAATAGGCAGAGGGATGTTTAGAATGCGGTGACCTCATGTGGGGAGCTTGTTTGGAGGGAGTACGCCTGACTGCACAGACAAAATCTTGCTCATTCTGGTTGGACAACTGCTGGATCATTGCGGTATCGTGTTTCAAATTCGTCATGCGTTGGCCCTCAGCGGTCACTCGCTACAATGTGACATCCGGATGCTGCTCAAGTTTGTTCAATATTCTTGTTCGAAATTCGGCGTCTGGATGCTTGTAGACCACAAGCGTACATGAAACATTTAAACCAATCATATGTGGTCTTGTATAGTTGTGACCGTTCGCACTCGCGATTCACACGGCTGGAATAATCGACCCAGTCTTCGTCTACTTTTTTGTTATTGTCCGACACTTGTACCTGAAGTTGAACAACGATGTCTGCTCTCCGAATATCTGCGACAGGACTGTGGCCACTTCATCGAACGACAAATCGGTACTCTTTTTGGTACGATAAAATTGGTCAAACTTCTCGTGTAAGGCAGCACCCAGCTTTCGCAGCATTAGCCGAATCATCTTGTCCACTGAAAAGTTGGCGAAATCAACCCGGAACATGTCTTCATACTTGTGGAACCAAGAAACAAACGTTATGCCGGCATCAGCTTCACAATGGAACTCACTGATTTGCTGAGTGAGGGTTCCTGGTGAGGGAGCACATTCACTTTTCCATAGCCCTGGGCTTAGCTACCCTATCGACTTCTGAGTTAGCATCTCAATCAGTTTGGCCTGGGATTCTGCATACTTCGCCGCTTGTTTCTGCAAATAAACTGCAATTGTTCAAAGATGATTGCCATGTACCCGTTCCGTTGAACACCGGTCGCCACTGTTATAACGCTGTACCCACAACCAGCCGGTTGGTTTACACCTGCTGGTAAATCTGTGCCCTTACGCCTGCACTGCTTGACGTCTTGGCCAACCCGACAGGCAGGAAAACAGAAGAAGTCTCAGTCGACCAGAGTTGTATTAGAACCGAGAACGCTCATATTTATAGGTCGGTCTCACCAATCATCTAAACACCACCTGGCGAATTCGGCTACCTGTCTTCATCGTACGCCCGCGCTCCACACTCGCTTGCTCGCTCCGTCTGTTCAGTACACCATTTTGCCCGGGTACGCCAGTCTTCAACCGCCTACCAGGGGCATGGCAACGTACTTGATGTCTGACGCGCGACTTCAACGCTTCCGCTCAGACTTTGGCAACACGTATGACGTCTGATGCGCGAGTTCATCAACTGTCGGCTGGGCCGTGGCAACACGCTCGCGGGGTCTTCACCAAGCACTCTTTGCGGCGAAAACGTGCGCGTTTGCAAACAGCTTTCTCGCCCACCTGTCACCCGAGGATATTGAAATTGCTAGTCCAGTCACAACAGATGGCAGTAAACATAATCAGCAGCTGGCAGATATACGTAACACATTTCGTTCAGAATTACGATTGTGAATAACAGCAAGAGAACAGCGGCCACTAGCAGTCGTCGTACAAACGACACGACTCACGACTCAACAGAAGCATAACCGCGCTTAGAAAAACTGTAAGCTCAGGTTAGTAGCTATCGAGGAAGCTACTGATGGATTATATACAGTATGTACGGGAGTAGTGGAACAAATGTAAGGCATTTATTTCGTCATTAGGTAAAGCAGACAAACATCCATTAGATGCCGGCTTCTCAGCCGCCGATACAAATCCATCTCCTCCCTAGGCTCCACATTTAAGAAACCTTCCTGTGTGTACATTAGTACGGAATTTCTTTTCCGTGCGTGTTTGCCAAGCCTGGAATGCTCTCCCAGAATCTGTAGTCAGTGCACCCAACCTGATCGAGTTCAAAAATCGAGTTGATAATGCCCTCACTTCATTGCACTATCTCCCATAGTACAGTCTAATTTTGAGAGATCCAAAATCCATACTTTAAAAATAATTTTCCCCTACGCAAATTTCAACAGTGGATTTATATTTTGACGCTTCAAACTCAAACACTTTGTCCCATGCGAATTTCAAGGGGCAGTGACTCTTTTAACCAAATACTCCATGCCTCATGATTCCCTCCGAGTTATAGTGGATTATTATTTTGACACTTCAAACTCGGTGAGTCCACAAGCTTGTAGTGACTCGTTGTTAAACGATTTTACTGAATTGGTTTCCATTGAATTTTCCACACTTCTATGATTTTCGCACTGATCACCCTACGGGATTTGTCAAGCTTTAGCTTTTATACCCGCATAAATCCATTGTTCCATTGTAAAGCTTAGTTAGTAAACTACCCGAACGGCGACATCGGCAAGAATCAAATGCTTGTGAACGGATCGCTATAACGGCGACATGTTTGCGCCCCGATATAAGCGACATCGAGATCGGACTGCAAGACATGCTGTTTATTCGACATGATCGACCCAGCAAAGTTGGAGGGGTGACCGTATTTCTGAAACGACATCCAATGTGAGCCCATAGAAAAGCTGGTCAACACAGAACAGAATTGCCTTCGGTGACGTCTAGGTTTAAAGGGCGACGACGCATGCGCAGTGGCAGACGTTTATCGCCCTCCCTCCTCCACACTCGAGAGGGAACCAGCACAAAGACGGCAGATAAACAATAAGTATGGTCACATCCTTAAAAGTGGCAATTTCCAAACCCTTGCTCTGGAAGCCCTAGCTGCTCCTAGAGGGCAGTTCAAGGCAAATCTATAAAAAGTTGTACTTCCGGAACTAAAGAACAACTTATATCTGCAAGCAAACAACTCCAAAATGAAACTTGTGAAGTCAGTTCAGCGAACCAGGCTAGTTGATGAACATTTGAAAGGAATTCCATTGATGAAACGCAGCAAATCTAACAAAATACTGATAACTGGGAAGCCAAACTCTTGCTTCACAAATATTACCAATCCTTTCCCGCCTACTTTGTGCAGTCCAGATGCAACTAATCTTTTGCGTACGCCACTTCCATAAATAAGTTCGCAGTTAATAAATATGTTGTATTTTAACAATTGCGCGCCGATCACCCATGTTTAACACGGAATGCTGAGATTAGTTGTTTCATGTTTTGTTTCAGAATTTTTTTGGCCTGCGAAATCTGCACTGAAATGTAATGCGGCCCGCGGTTGTACTTTCGTTGACTATCCGGCCCTCCACTGACCACTGATTCAGATGATGGTAGACATACCATTGGGCCGCGACGATCATGTAATCTTACTCTTCCAATACATCCCTTATGCGGTTGTGACAAAATATACGATGCCTAGTATAAGCGAAGAACAGTGCGTTCACAGGCAAACGCGAGCTAAATTGATATGGACAACAGCGTATTCCGACTGTTAGGTCACGACAAATGGAAATCTGCATAGATCATCTTACCCAATAAGCACGCGCAGAAAATTTGATTCTTCTGAATTTCGACCACATAAGCCCCCTCCAGCTACCTGACTCGTCTTTAGTCTAAACACGCTGTCAGTTATCCGAATTCCCAACTCGTCGCACTGAGACACTCTAAGGGTCCTCTGAGTCCCGGTGATTTTTGCGTAGCAGTTCGCATCGCGATAGAATCATAACTCTGCACGCATTCCCCTGGGCTACCTGTGACCCATAGTCCCAGTAATCAACGAGCTATCACAGGGAAAGCTTATCAAAAATGTTCCAAAAGACGAACTCGTCCAGTTTTAGCAAAATCATAGTCACCTCAAAAAGTGGATAAACCAACATTCCAAATAGATTGCACTCAAACAACTTCAAACAATCTACCAACATTGATTACGAAATGAAACATGCTGTCGGGGGTGGCACATACTGTACCACTGTAAATGTACCAGTGTCGGAATAAGAATGTCACTATAACTGTACCACTAACCAATCCTCCGTTAAGCGGTCTGAGCTCAATTACATTGTCAAAGGGGAATGATTCGTCATACTCATGACCATCAGTACAATTTAACTAAAGGTGAGAAACGCAATTCAACTATGGTGCCGTAGCAAAACTACAAAAGTATGTGAAAAACGTGATTCTGCACATATTAGAACACGAAAGTGACATTTAGTACGATGCTAACTGGCATATTATGCTTCAAAATAGAGATATGGTACGAAAGTAGAACATGAGCGGAATGAAGTAGGACAACGAACTATTAGCACAATCGCCATTGAGGTCGGCTCTTCGGCATGTCAACTGTGTATCCAAATGATTGCCCCAAGCTGTTGGGGGTACAGGCTAATATCATGCACCTAAAGACTAGGGGGCATATAAAACCCAGATATGAAGTAGAGCGACGCACTCAGCATTACACTCACTCAAGTGGACAGCGGTTACGTGCTGTTGGAGGTTACCCTTCTGTGTAAAAGACTTGTCGCAGTACTCACAGGTGTGATCTCGTTGTTCTGGAACAAAAGGTAAGTCATTATCTTTTATATATAACACGAATGAATGAAAAATGAGACGGTGCCATTAGCAAAGCTTTACTTCAAATGCAAACGTCTTTACACACAATGATTGAATAATCGTCGAGAAGCCGCAACGAATACCTACCACCGTATCTATTTGACTCATCCTCATTCTTACACATAAAACGCCACTTCGTACGACGTATTCCACAAATCTGAATGACTATGAGAACTTGAGTGGAAGCCAATTAATGTTTACCATTTGATACGCTGCAGTGTACTCAGAAATCCTGAGAAAGTACGTACATTGATGCAACTACTCCAAAGAAGGAACCGTAAACCACCGCAGGAAATTGAAACGTTGGCTCTAGACGATGGTTCACAAACGCGCGACATCTGTTTATGCGAGGTTATGAACTCTAGTATTGCCTCCATTTTTACCCCCAATACTCAGCCATTTCATCCTCCACTTCCAAAAAGAACGACCGAACTATCCTGCAATATTCTTGTGACCTTAAGAGAGGTGCAAAGTTCCATCGCAACCATAAAACCATCAACTCGTCGAGGTCCAGATGGCATCCGTCCAACTGTCATAAAACTCGGAAGAAAAAACCTCACTCTATGTTATTAAACACCTTCACACTTTCACTCAATACCGGCTGCTTTCCAACGCAATGGAAGCAATCCTTTATAATGCCTAAGCACAAGGGTGACCCGAGAAATCAAGTGTCAAGCTAGAGCTCAATAAATCACACCTCAGCTGCTTACAAAGCCCTAGAGCGAACAGTCAAGAAGAATACTGTTCAATATCTTACAAGGCTGTATCTGATCAACCCCTCAGAGCATGGCTTTCTCTCAAGGCGCTCCTGCGTTACATGCCAGCTACAATTTCTCCATCACGTCACAACTATGATTGACAGAGGAATGGCAATTAGTATAATTCTGTTGGACATGCAAAAGTCGTTCGACCGCGTGCAGCACAAGCCACTGCAGTCTGTTCTGCAGTCATATGGAATAGGAAATCCTCTGCTGAACTGGTTGGACTCATACCTAAGAGGTCGAACACAGGTAGATAAAATCGGTTAACAACATTCTACACCCAAACCAATAACCAGCGGAGTCTTCCAGGGAAGTGCGCTCGGACCACTACTTCTCCTAATCTACGTTAACAATACATGTGACCAGATCAAACATGGACACCCATTTCCGTTTGCAGACGACGTCAAACTGGTTTACTCATTTCATCCAGACCAACTACATATATCTTTGGGGAACATCAGTGAAGACCTATCTCCACTAAACATAGCTAGTGAGCGTTTATTAATGAAGCTCTCCGCAGTGAAATCCCACGTACTTGGGTAACGATGCCACATCCCAGAAGGCTCCATCATACTTGCCAGAAACGTGATCCCTACGTCTGATTCAGTTCGGGACTTAGGAATTAGGTACTCCAACTCTTGCAATTTCTCCGAATATGTTCTTTATCAGGTTGCGAAAGCAAGGCATTTATGCGGATATATCACCAGAACTTTCTCCCTACCTGAAGCACGACTTGAGTCATTCAAGACAATAATACGACCGACTCTGGAATATTGCACTATCGTTCACAGACAATTGAGAAAGAAAGACAGAACAGCTCTGGAAAATGTTCAACGATCATGTACCAAGCTGGTCAGCGGGCACTGCTCAACCCTGACTTATTATGCTCGCTGTCGAAAACTCCAACTGGATCCTCTTTGGCTGAGACGCTTAAAGAACAACCTTCTCATCTACAACATTATAGACCAAAGAATTTACGCAGATAGCACCGCACATGAACTGCAGTCTACCCCACACGTAATGGCGGCTACTTGGTACGTACAAACCTTTCAAGTCGTAAAACGGTCGAATTTCTTCTTACTGCGATACCCTGATCTGTAGAACGAACTGCCCCTCCAGATACGCTTGTGTACAACTCAAGTCACGTTTCGAGATTTCCTTCAGATGTTCCTCACTATACCAAATGTGTTGAAGATATTTAACCCAAAGCAAACTCCAGAAACATTGACAGGTGTGGTCTCGCTGTTCTGAAACAAATGGCAAGTCGCTAGCTGTTAGACATAACATGAATGAATAAAAAATGCTGCGGCGCCAAAAGCAAGACTTTAATGCGCATACAAACGTCTTTAGACACAATGAATGAATAATCGTTGGGAAGCCGGCGAAGGATATATTCCACCGTATCTGTTTGCGTCATCCTCATCCTCACACATAAAACACCGCTTCAAATGACGTTTACCACCAAGCTGCATGACAATGAGAACGTGGGTGGAAGTCAATTAATTTTTACGACTTTATACGCCGCAGTGTGCGCATATAAATGTGCATAAATGGAAATGCTAGAGACCTCAGTTGAATCGGTCTCATGGTTCAACTGCGAAATGTGGCCAACCATCAGATGATATATTTCAACCTCAAGGGTTGGTCTAGATTCCTGCCACATTCTATCGATAACACATCAAAAATACAGCGTTGCTCGCGGATCTGTGGCATAAGCCATCAAATGTTATGTCCAGCATTTCAATCCCAGCACAGACTACCTCCATGTTTGAAACCTAAACAGTGCATGGTATACTGCAAAAGGTGTGCCAATTTCAGCAGCAGATCTAATAACAAAAACGAGTGCTGAGTAAAGAAGCCGTATCGGCTAACAATGCTCTCCTTCCCGAAACACCTCTTTACTTTTATATTTACCGAATAATTCACATCCATCTGATTTGCGGTAACATAAGTACTGGGTGGCGGAGAGCACAGAATTTACCTGCGAGTTCGAGTTGGTGTTACGAGGAATACACCTACAACGAGAACGCGAGAAAACAATAAACTAAATTTACCATTCCTGAAACACCTGTTGACATTTATACTCACCGAGCAATTCACATGCATGCGATTTGCGGTAACATAAGTACTGGGTGGCGGAGAGCACAGAATTGCCCTGCTAGCTCGAGTTGGTGTTACGATGTGTACATCTACGATGACAAGGTGAAAAAGGATAAACTAAATGTATCACATCCATTCGGGATTACTCAAACATCCGCCGAGGGAAAGCTAGATTACGCTCAGAAAGCCGTATGAGAACATCGCATTATGGGCGCTTGGATGAACGAGCATCAGTGTGAACGAATGGAATTCCTCCTCAATGGACACAGACGGTGAGCTCGATATACCGTGACTAACTAAAGTTCACCTTCTTCGGCATTTGGGTCAGCACATGATTGCATACTAAGTCCCCATGGTGAAACCCTCTGAGGGAAGCAACCGTTAAATATCCCCGTTTCTGAATTCAAGCGGTGTGATCAACCAACCATGCCAGCACGATAATTGTCTACACTATACCATTTCCCGGCAAAGTTGTCCACTTGGGCAACAGAAATAATCTGAGGGGGCATTCAAAATGAGTCTCCTCATTTTTCAGTGGTCAGCCCAGGTGTCAACTCGTCCTATTGCTCTATCGTCGCCTAATTCTAAGTACGTCCATTCGGCCGTGCATGTGCTCCCCGGTCGTCAAATGGAATACGCATTCGTTGGTGCAACAACACTGTTCACGACCAACTGGACGAGGCAAGTCATGGACTTTGGAATCCGATGGCAACAACCGGCGTTATGCACAGGAGACACTGATAAGTGTCGTGAAATCCTGTGCTATGTTGCAAGGCTAGTGCAAGACTGAGGTAACACGGAAACAGCAATTTCCTCATCCTTGCTATTGGGGATCGTGATACTGTGTCATCGCGTTGTAACAAGAGGACGCATCCAAAATCACAGACCTCTACATGGGAAACCAAAGTCGGTGACTTGCCTCGTCCAGTTGGTCGCGAACAGTGTTGTTGCACCAACGCATGCGTATTCCACTTGGCGACCGGGGAGCACATGCACGGCCGAATGGACGTACATAGTATTAGGCGATGATAGAGCAAAAGGACGAGTTGACACCTGGCCTGCCCACTGAAAAATGAGTAGACACATTTTGAATGCACCCTCAGATTATTTCTGTTGCCGAAGTGGAAAACTTGGCCGGGAAACGGTATAGTTTGGCAAGAAAAATATCTGCCAGCACTGGTCCGAGTGGGGACCCGATTGCGACCCCATCATTCTGCCGATAATATATGCCGTCGAAAAGAAACTGAATGATGTAAGTGCATCTCAGAAGTAATTCTTTCAGGCTTGGTAAGGGTATAGCTAAATGAATGCTGTTATCATGCACATAGTTGCATAGATATTCTATTGTCTCTAGTAGCGGGACATTCGTGAATAAAGAAGCTACATCAAGTGAGAACATCTTCTTCTCCTTCAGGTTCCCATCTCTAATGTGCTCTACGAATGTAAAACTATCCCGAACACTACGTTTGGCAATTCGTTTTCTTATTGGCTCCAGTAATTCTGCCAACCACTGGGCTGTTGGATGACATGCGGAGTTTGTCATGGACAATATTGGGCGTAGAGGTACACCTTCTTTGTGAAGTTTTGGCAGTCCATACATTCTCGGGATAGATGTTCCAACTGGCCTCAGACTTTCAAACTGACTACTAGATATAAAACCGCGGGTACATAGATCTTTCAGGCAATGCGTCAGGTTTTGTTCCGTTTTGGCTGTTTGTTCCTTCTCACCTAGTTTTACACAAAACTTCGTTTCGTCTCGGAGGATCTGGTTTAGTTTCGAGATGTAATCACTTCTATCCATTAGGACTATACCACTTCCCTTATCTGGCTTGCAGATAACTATATCTTTATTGTTTTTTTAACTCTCTCAGGCAGTTCAAATGTTTACGAGTAATCAGGCCGCGTTGATTCACCTGGTAGTTTCGATATTGGTAACAGCAATTGACCAACGAGGACTTGAAGCCTTCTAGAGCATCGGTTGATAGCGCGACTAAATCTTTCGTTTGTGCTACCAGGTTTTCAAATTGTGTCTCGGTATCTAACTGACGTTCGTTACTTTTAGGATAACAGAATTTCGA